TCGATTAACCCGCAAGATTGACATGATATTTATTAAAAAATGGGATATGATTTTGTTGAAAAACTCGGTTGGAAGCGTGTCAAGGAGGTCGGATTAGATCAAGAGATGGAGGAAATGGATCCCATTAGCCATGAAGACGAGCAACCAATTCGAGATGCAATGATGGAAGAAGCTCCAGTTGGAGAGGATGTCACAATTAATATCGTGATGGAATACATGGTCAATTTTTGGGAGCATATTGATTCCCTTGTGAGTGGAATAAGAGCTGATATTTCATCATTGCGTGATGATGTCTCCATGTTGCGTGACGAATTACGTCAACGACATCAAACGAGTTAGGTAATTCATTATTTATAGTTCTAAACATTTACACGTTCTGAAATGTATTTTATTTTCTTTTAATAGATATGGACAACCAAGCGGTCAATGAATATGAAGATGACGATGAAGATGACGATGATGATGATGATGATCCAAACAAGTATATCGTGTCTGCAACGCTGCCTTCAAGAAAACTTTTAATTTTTGATCTCAATAGTGTCCTTGCCTACATCCCAAGACTGCCTGCAAGTTTTAATTATGTTCTTTTGTATCCATTATTTTAACATATAAGCGTAGAACTTTAATATCATTTTCTTAATGCTGTAGATGTTGTCCTCAGAACATGATTATTTGAATTTATGCAATTTTGTGTAGACAATTTTGTTATTGTCATTTGGTCTTCCAAAATGAGGTTAGAACTGTTGAGCAATTGAATTACTGTAGCCAAAATCGTTAATATACAATTGAATGTTAACATTCAAACTTGATTACAATCTCAGGCATAACGTCGACCGTGTACTTGAGAAACTACCTTTATTTTCTGAGCATTTTCTATTCGTTTGGGTAAGATGAATGTCATTACAGTTTGCTGACTTTTCTTTGTCTACGATTCCTACATATTTATGTTCGACTATTTGTGAACATGGTCAAGCAAAATGCAAAACATACGATAATGTTACCTACTGTAAAGATCTCAATGATGTTTGGAACGCGTGTCCTGATTTTAACGAGCTAAATACACTTTTGGTCGATGATTCAGCGGGAAAAATGATTTATAATCCGGTAAGTTACATTTATGCAATATGTTTTTCCAGTTAAACAGGTGTTCATACATTGATTATTTTAACAATTTATGTGTTTATATAGAAAGACAATTACAATATGATTCAGCGGAAAAAATGATTTATAATCCGGTTTTATGAGAGAATAGATATACAATATGTATAAACACTTTGTTGAAAAACCCCAGGTTTTATTGGCTATGCTGTCAACATGATTAACCTGGATAATCTCAGTTACAAAACTGATTCCGGCCATGATTGCGAGAGACTATATTCTACAGATTGTTTGGCATTTATGTGATGATACAGATGAAATATCAAACAGTCTCGTAATCCATAATAAAAATAGACTAAGAGAGTAAATTTTGAAAATATAGGGTTAATTTTGTATAATTTATATTATACTCAAACTGAGCTTGACTTGAGGACATGTTAGTTTGTTATGTCCCTCACCGTTTCCGTACCCACATCGCCTAATTATCTTCTCGACCTTGTTCTTCGGTACTTCTTTTCGCTTGTGTTGTTTTTGTTTAGGGTCATGAACGTTGTTTACTACAATGCTCTGGTTGACTGAATTATTCAAACCAAACGAGTTTTCTAATTCTTCTAATAGTCTTTTTATCTCATCTCTTGCGGTTTTGAAAGACTCGTCTGTCTTTGATGCAATGTAGCATAACCTACTTGACGTTGAACGTAGAGCAGCGAACCGTGCCATTTGAATCACTTCTGGAGACACATTCAAGTCAACATAACTTGGTGCAGAAGCCTTCGCATCATTAGTCCACCTACTTTGAATCAAAGTCCCATGCAAATATGTGTAATCCAAGTACTACAAAATGTGAAGTTGATGGCGACACGGAAGTCCAACGGACTCAAATTTTTTGCAGGAGCAAATTAGGGTTTTCGTATGATAATCAAAACTAATTTCAAATTCCTTATTTTTTCTTTGTACTTTGAAAAAATATAATGTTGACATTCATCTGATAAGTACTGAATCTCTGCCTCAATCCGGTATAATGTCTCCTATAGAAGTTCATCTTGGAACACACGAAAAGATTTGCGGGTAAAAATCGCAGCAGCATGGCTTTCAAGGTCGAACAGTTTTGTGATCTGGAAGGGCTTCGTATGAGAACTTAAGTAATCCGCTTTCAACTCGTTCATATGCATTTTACTAATTCCATCTTCAATTGCAAGAATAACATCTAAATATGTCTTCTTGTGTTTCAGTGCAATCGCTAGTGAAGCATTCATAGACTCGCACCTTTGTGTTGAGCGAATATTGGCAAAGAAATGACCGGCTAGATATGCTTGTGCCCATAAGTGCCATGTATTTCCCTTCTCAATCACCCATGAATGCTTTTCGACGTTGAATTCTGAAACAACCGAACGCCATTGAATATCAAATTCCTCGGTTGTCCACCAGGAAGCCATGCATTTTGAGAATGCTGCTGTAAATTTTGGGTCACCAATGTTAGCTTGTGCATTGCGAGAAAGATGCCAAAAACATAATATGTGCTTAGCATAAGGGATAACATATTTGATAGCCCTCTGCATTGCCTTATCCCCATCGGTGACAACTGAAATATGTGATTTATTCATCATGACTTCTAAAAAATTCTGTAGCACCCACTCAAAAGATTGAGACGTCTCGTCAGCGATTATGGCAGTGGCAAACACAATTGTGTTATGGTGATGATTGACACCGACAATAGGCATAATTGGTCGACCATACAAATTATCTTTGTACGTTGTGTCGAACGCAATTACATCTCCGAAGCATGTGTAATCCGATCTCGATGTAGAATCCGACCAAATAAGATTATACAATGCCCCTGATTCGTCTACCGAGTATGTCATAAAAAACCCGGGATCATCATGTTTCTTATAATCAAAGTTTGCAATAAGCGCATTCACATCCCCATCGACGATTTCCTTTGCTTTACCTCTTTGAAGTGCATTGTAGAGGTCTTTATGTGTAAATCAAACATTATGATAACCCCTGCCTGCTGCATTAAATAGTTCATTACTTGTGGCGTGCCAACACCGACCTCTTTCAATGTTGTTGCCTCATCAATATCAGTCTTACTTACAGCTCTATTAGAATGCATAAATGGTGTCATAGCAGGTGTGCACAATGCATGATTATGTTCCTGATAAGACTTACTTATAACCCACTGATCATTTATATTTGTTGCTGTAACTACGACTCTAGCCTTACATCATGTTCTTGTGACTGGTGTATGAGCACGTTGACGATTAACAATATTGACTTTTGATGCTCGAAACCCTTCTTTAGAATAACAAAATTCTTGTGTCTTCACATTCCCTTCCACGTCAAGCCGTGCTATTCCCTTACGTGCACTAAACTCATGTTCCCGTGCGAATCCCTTGTAAAAGTACCAAGCTTGATCACGTGAACAGAAGAGCTGACCAACCAATCTGTTAGATTTATCAACATTATGTACTTCATGGCATTCCTCGGTTGGCTTAACATTGTTTGCATCAGTATGATCCATGGCAAAAATTTTGTTGTGCAAGTTCATTAAGTTGATGGAGATATAAGCAAAGGTTTATTGAACATGTTTCAGTCGTGTTGCTTTCAATAGGATGTGGTATTGGTAGTGGTAGTTAAATGGTGGGTACAACATTAAATTCGCAGTACATATTTAGGTATGTACAATAACTACCTAAATATGTGTCGATACATTTTATACAAGTATCGACCCAAAAAACATCAAAACCAATAATTATAATGTAATAGGTAAATTAACAATGTAATCGGTATAAATATACCGGTTAATTAGAAAACATGTCAACATAATGTATTGACACTTGTGTAATTTGTGTCGATACTTATTGTCCATGATTAATGCACAAACGAGGTGCGCGCATAAAGTGTCGACACTTGATAAATTTGTGTCGATACTTTTGGTCCAGAATGAATACAAAAAATGGTGCAACCATAAAGTGTTGATACATTTATAAAAAGTATCGATCCCGAAAACATCGAAACCCATAAGTATAATGTAATAGGTAAATTTTCAATGTAACCGGTATAAATATACCGGTTTTATGAGAGAATAGGTCTAAATAATGTATCGACACGTTGTTAATTTGTGTCGATACTTTTTTCCAGAATGAAATATGAATGTCTAACCAGGTGCAAGCATAAAGTGTCGATACATTTAAAATTGTATCGATCTAAAAAACATCGTAACCGATAATAATAATGTAATAGGTAAATGTGCAATGTTACCGGTATAAATATACATATTTACTTCGAAAATAGGTCAATATAAGCGCTACCTATTATATTATATAAGAGTTACCTAATATGTTATTGTACTTGATAATATTTCCGGTTAAATGACTATTACATTATATAAGCGATATCTATTACATTATATAAGCGCTACCTAATATGTTATTGTACTTAATAATATTTCCGGTTAAATGATATAACATTACCGGTCAAAATTTTAACCGCTCACTTGTTTAACCGATCACGTCATTTTTTAACCGTCGTAAGCCGATCGGTTTGTTTCTTTCGTCAAAAATAAATAAATAAATAAATAAATAAAACATCCCATTTTCAGGGCCACTGCTCCTTTCCTCTTTAATGGAACAAACAGACAAGAACATGATTTTACTACCATCGTCCAATTCCCTTTCCAGCTATTTCCATCTGTCTTTTTTAGCATAATTGCCTCTTCAACTTCTTTTCAGGGTAAGAATCATGGTAATGAACTTGTCAACAACCTAACAATTATAAACATTCATTGCATTCCCAGAATTAACAAACTTTAATTGTTTACACAATTCCTTCTCCACGATGAAATTACCCTTACTGAAATTGAAAAAAATGGATTGATAAAATTGAAATGAAGAAGAAAAAGATTAAAAGATATCAAGAATTTCTGCAATGGAGGCATTGCAAAGTGGGCAGTGGCCTCGCTGAATCCAGAGTTCCCTTGAACAGACGCGACAAAATGTATGACCGCATGGAATAAACGCCGCGCCTTTTTGCCTAACCATGCAAACGAAACAACCGTGTTCCATCCGCCCCATGGTTTCTTCGACTGCTTGTTCTTCCTCCGCCGCCCCCACTTCCTCGTACTTGTAACCGTCGCTTATGAGGTAACTCGTTCCCATCAGCCCCATTTGTTGGGTTGTTTCTTCCAATAATTCAATTAGTGACATCCTCACCGGCTCCTCCGCCACTGGCGGAACATTATTCACTGCCTCTACAGGTTGTTCTGCCGCCGCTGCTGGCGGAACATTTCCCGCTGCCGCAGCGGTCGCTTCTGCTGCTTCTCTCGAAGACAATGCCCTTTCCTCCGCCAATATCGCAGCCAGTCGGCGAGTACCATGACGAACCAGAGGAGAGTCATCGTCATCGCTGCTGTCAACGAAGTTTACGGCAGTGTTCGAGGAAGGCAAAGGATCCGGATCATCGCAGTTTGTTTGTGGCCGGAAGCTTCTCGACGGCGGAGCGTCACTAGGCATGCTAACATCAGCCGAATCATCGTGAGACAGCTGCACCGGATTGTGCCAAGCCCGAACCAAATCCCTCCGCGCCAATTGCAACAGAGAGTTCATAACCGGCGGATCAGAAACCGGGGCACGTTCTCCTCCATCATCAGCCTGAGTGGAACCATCCGGGTCAGAACGAAACAAACCGCTTCTCGATAACTGAGATCTATCACTATGGACATTATCATCAGAAACCGGGACAAAAACCGAGGAAGCCCAAGCAGAGGTCGGCCGCTTGAGCCGGATCTTGTCTCTAAACGCTTTCCAACTCTTCCTGTCCTTGTTGGACGCATCGTCTAGTATAATCTCCAGAAGCGTACGGTTGTTAGACGGCGGAGTTTGGGGCCGCTTATTAGCGTTTCCCAAAATGGCATCGAGAGTCAAAGCGGCGGCCAGAGTGGTCCGGCCGTTGTCGACGGCTGTCATTTGCTCAAAAAGCGTTGGTCGCCGGTGACTGCTCTCCATCGCATAAGCGTTACATAAAACAAAAAAGGAATTTTAAGATAAAAATAAAAAAATTATTGGGAGACAGAGAAAGTAGAGAGATTTCTCGGGAAAGAGAGGCGAATGTGGAAATGAGGACTTTGTTTGGTTTAAAACAGAGATCTGAAATAATAACCGTAATTAAAGGTTGAAATCATGCTTAATAAATCTTAACATTGGATTCCTCTTACTGTACAAAAACGGAAACAAGTGTGGTGAAAATGACTTTGTACACACAGCTTTTCAATTCCAAGGAAAGTATGTTAATATTATTTGAATTAAAATTCCGAATAAGTTACTTTATTTATTATGAATAATATTTAAGAAAATAAATGGAAAAGATAGATTAAAATAATAAAGATCCTCTAATTGGAGTATTCAAAATGAAAATAGGATCATATTGGTAACCGTGAATAGTCACTTAAAAGCACAAAATATAACTGACCAATTTCACATAGCTTGTATGTTGCAAATTCTATTGGCAATAGTGATGAAAGTAGGGCCACTATGAATTGTTTAGACTAAATCTCATGTTCTTATAGGAAATAGTGTTTTTTTCGAGCTCAACCAAAACACTGCCATAGTTGGACATAGAGGAAGTTGCTTTAGAAGTTTGGCTCCGGTGTTGGTTAGCCTAAAATGTTTGGGATATTCTGAGGCCTAAGCAGTGCAGAGTATGATGGCATAAATAGTCAGGAAAGCTTTATAATTATGAGGCATTCCTTTAAAACTTGGCTAATTATTCAAGATAGGCCAACAACAAGAGTAGAATGTTATTGTAAAGTTTTCTTCTCCTCATACCTCCATTTCAATATGACAATATCAGAATACAGGCCCAACGTACCATCCTTTAAACCATAGCCCTATTGTCGTACATTTGAAACAGGCCCGTCCATGTACAAATATGACATATGAAACATCACATAACCCTAAAATTTAGAGATTCCACACATAAATGTCATTTAAACCTGTCTATTAATAATTTTTGTGTTCTAATGACGTATTTTTTCGAAGAAAAAACAAACTTTCCATTTGATTCATGGGAAATTGGCAGTGAAAGTTGCAAATAAAGATTTTGACAGTATCTATAATTATTTTTCATGATAACTTTTGGTAAAAAGACATCGTAAATCTTTCATAATTTTAAATTTGACAAACTAATTCTTATTTTAAAATATTTTATGGGTATTATTTTAAAAAGTGGCATAGGGCCTACATATCTTTTGGATGAGCTTGATTTGGAACCAAATTTACACCACTATGCATCCCATAATTAACAATATATTATACTGTAAGCAAAATAATAACCAATGTAAAACGATCGTAAAATAAAAAAAATCAAGATTTTATTTGAAAAACTCATTCGGAGAAAAATCACAAGTAAAAAAAGGAGAAAATTTACTATGTCAAAAAAAGAGTACTAAGAAAATTTGTGTCTAGACATGATCTAGGGTTTAACTTACTATTAAACTCTAATTCTTAGTATCTATTTATAAAGATAAATTTATTGTTTACAGAAAAAATTTGCATCGAAAGAAATCTACCCTTTAAGTTTCTTACTGTTCATCGATGAGGAAAGGGAGGAGTAGAGTTTTATGCGAATAACTTCTTCACCCACCACCACATATTTCCATTTTAATCTCTATTTTAAGTGAGTTTCTTCCTAACTAACTCAAGTCTAATAAAAATGGATTATACAATTATAATATAATAGATTGTAACTTGATATTTTATCTAAATTTTAGGGATCAAATTAATATTTTATCTAAAGTTTAAGGTTTAATTAGTATTCAATCTAAAGTTTAGGGAAAAAATAAAAATTAACCCCTTTTAACTAACGTGTCGTGTTGTCTACCAAATAACGAGAGCTCGTTAATTGCTTAGTGATCAAAATATAACAAGAAATAACATAACTGATCAAAATTTAATAAATCAATAATATAAGTGATCAAAACTTAAGTTTTTAAAATTTAATGGATAAAAGTGTACAAATATGAAAACAAAGTGACCAATCCAAAAATTTACTCTACGTAATTTTATCTGGCACGCCGCACGCGTAAGAAGAACGAACCGTTTACGTACGGCTTCTTCAGTGTCTTACATTACTTCCATTGGCTGCCTCACATCACCAAAACAACTACCTTTCTTTTCAAGTCCCAGAGTCCACACCTTCTTCCCCCAAAAAACTCAATATTGCTGGTACTTTCTTCATATTTTTCCTCAATTAATTATAATCATTATTTACCCTTGTTTGGTTTAAATTGTTTAATTGATTTATCTGTCGTTTGAATTTTTAGAGGGCTTGATATTCGCGATCGTTGTTTGGTTTCCGAGAACCAACCATGACTCATATCCTTTTTAATTTTCTTAATTAACGGTGTATTCCTAATTTTCGTCGGCTTAATTTTAAATAAAACGATTGGGGTATTTCTAATTTTGTTGGTTCTTTAACTCATGCTAACGCGGTAACCAGAGAGAGAAAGATCGAGAAAGGGCCCAATCTAGAGCCGGCAACAAAGGAAAAACCAAGGACGATGGTTTAACCCCTGAACAACGCCGTGAAAGGTTTCCTTTTTCTTTCTTCATTTGATATTTTATTTTATTATAGTGTTATTTCCGATCTTTGCAATCGTGTCTTTTTTTTTTGGATGGGCAGAGATGGAAAGGCCTTGCAAGAAAAGGCAGCAAAGAAGGCGGCACAGGCGGCGACTGGAGGGAACACTGCTGGCGGCGGTACCGGAAGTAAAAACAAGAAATAATGTGACGATGGTGAGATGATTTAGGGTGGAGGGTAAAGATAGTGTTTTTGGTTGATTGGGGAATCAGATCTTTGTGCTTTCCTGTTGGTTTTCAGTGTCTTTGCTTATGTCGTTTTAAGGCTAACGATATGCACTTTATGTGTTTTTTTAATTGCCATTGATGTTGATCCTTACATTCTCAGTTTTTATTTTTATTTCAAGAATGGAATTGATTCCCTATGTTACATTCTGCAAGTGAGTCCTTTCTATTTTAACTGCAATCATCAATTTCCCCATTTAGAAAACCCTTTTAGTTTGATCTTCTGGTCCATTTGATTTGTTTCCTTTCATTGTTCTTGAGGATAATTGGGGTGTGGATGCTCGGTTTTGGTGTTAATTGTTTATTGTATCTTAATATAATTTCTGCTGGAGCATGATTTTATTCATGTTAGATGGTAAGGAATTAGATCCCTTCAAGACCTTTCAAACATAGAGCTTAGAAACAATCCAACATATCCATGTTGGACACATACTCGTATTAGATTCTAACACCAAGATCAACTGTTGTTGACGACATTGAGCTGTCAAGTGTCGTTTTGGAGGGTAAAAGCTTCTGGTAATGGTGTACACACTTCCTTCCTTCCTTGAAACAGAATGATCTGTTTTAGAATTTCTAATTTTTGAAACTGGATACTAATATCATGATGATTGCCTGCCCTGCCCTGTTAAGTATCAACTTGTTCAAGAGTAAGATGAGTTTTCTAGTATTCTAACATCAAACCTGCCATGTGTTGGTCATTAAGGATGACCGCATGAAAGAATTGAGCTAAAGCTCTGGCTTCACTTGTTAATGAGTTATTAGTATAACAAATATTTATAGATGTCATGACTCATCATCATTTGACCAACTCCATAGCATGTGCAGGACCCTGAGCATAATATGAGTCTTCTTTGATTTTCTATAAATTGTGCAAGGTTTTTGTCACAATTGCAAGTGAGTCGAATAGAGGTATTATGATGTTCGCATGATACGGATTAATCTTAATCGAATGGTAATAGATCATGGTATGATAATAACTATTAAGTAATTATAAAAGTTGTCCCATGCTTTCAGATTTCTCAATTTGGATTGTTGAAGGGCTGAGTTTTTGACAACTAAATCTATGAAGAAATTAAAATATGAAGGATAATTAGAGTAATTGAAGTAAATTGTAAAGAAGTTGATAAGTAATGTAGTCCGTATTGATGGTTCAACAACTTATATGACAAATGAAAATGGATATGATTGATAAAAAATTTAAACCTTGTAGAAATTTACTTATGGTTTCAAGGTAGTTGATCTTGACAATGAGGGTTTCACTATAATTGATTTTTTGAAAAATAAACTCTGAAAAATGAATTACTATTTTTGAAAAATAGGTTCTGAAAAGTATTTTCTAGTGTTTAGATAATGTGTAATTTATTTTTCGTTGTTTGGTAAGTTTTTCTGAAAATATTTTTCAAAATTTATTTTTAGCGAAACAAACACATTTGATTTGTTATTTTATTTTAATAGAGTTGATCTTATTATTAAATAATTTTTTTATAATTATAAATAATATAGACATAAAAATAATTTTTTTATAATTATAAATAATATAAACATTTATGTCGATTGTGTTATAATTATATTACTTTTTAATCTATTCAAAGAATACGTTGTTCTTAATAATTATTAAACTATTTATATTTTTTGTAACGAGTTATCTAACTTTTCGAAAAATAGACTTTCAAGTAAAAAGATTTAAGGAAATGGAAAATTTGAGAATTGACATTAAACACATTATCCAAATTGTTAAGAGAGTTTCAGCAAACATCTAATTTTGTACTACTTCACCATGTAAGCAAAAGGAAAAGGATGAAAGTGTCCTCTACACTATAATAGCTGTTTGAAAATCATATAAACAATTTAATAAAGCAAAGTAAATCACATAAAAATCACTCAAACAACAAAATTAGAACACACAGTGAACTAATCACACTATCAAAAGATAATTTTAGAGTTTTCTTCTTCTTAATTTAAGCATAAATTGTATTAATCCAATACGGTTATACTTTGTCAAATTCAATGAAATATATTTCAGGATATTATATAGTAAATACCTAATAAAAAAATGCAAACTTTGTAATTATCTAGAATTCTGAAATAAAACTCAAAATATAATTCAATTGTTTATATTACCTTTTTTTTCTATTTATACTATATTTAAAAGTTTAACTAAGTTTAGTGTTACCGGTTAATCAAACACCAATTCCATTAAAAATTAGTAAATCACTCTCATTTAAGGGTATAATATATATTATTTTAATATTATTTTTGTCTTTTCATTATTTTGTATAATCGTTAAATAAGATAGATTAAAAAAATTACTCAAAAATTGTATGTGAGACTAATAAATTTAAATACGAATTAGTTATCACTCTAACTAAGATTATTTATTGAATAAAATTTGATGAATATATTTTTATATAAAGTATTTTCTTTCCCTCACGACCACAAATCTAGTTTAGCTATAAACTAATAAAATGAAAATAAAAATATATGTTTTAATATTTTTTGTATTCAATTAAAATTATTTTTTTCTTAAAGAATAAAAAACATTAACAATTAATGAGAATAAGAACTGGATTATTATTAAAATACAAATGATAAATTAGTTTAAAAAATTATTACTAAAATATATCTTTTAAATGGAAACTTATTATTAAAATATAAATAGTAAATTAGTTTTAAATATGTCATTAATAATTTAATGATTAAATAGTTAAAAATATAAAAATTATTCAAGTGATCAAAACGTTAAATGTTGTTAGAGTACAATAAAGTTTGAAGTAATTACAATGTAGTATTTGTTTAAAATTTTTCTTAATCTATGAATAACGTACATACATCCTCTGTTTGAACCCATATCATCTAAGGACCTAAATAACAACTCTCTTTAAATGTTGTTAGGATTTAATAAAGTCTAGAGTGTGCCTGCATTTTCAATTAATTATTATTTTTAAATAGATAATATCTTATAAACATGAACACTATTATAAAAAAATCAACTTTAGGTTTGATTTCTACAGCAAAGTAACTGTTGGTATGCAGTATGTAAACAGTTGGTTAATAGCTGGATACTGTTTCTTCCTATTTTATGTAGTCTATTCTTGATCTCTACTATGGTTTCCTAACTCTTCCTTTTGCTTGTCGAGGTCTTAAATTATATCTGTGTGTGGTTCCATCACCATCACCACCTTCCTGTTGTTGATCTCCGACGACAATGTTTCTCACTGATGAAGCTCCTTTCTCATCGTTGCCGTCCACAATCATCGGCTGATCATTAGGTGCATCTTCATAAGGCAATGTCATCAACGTAGTCAAAGACATAGCATACTGAAATTCAACATTCTAACGATAAATGCAGTACAAATGTAATACTTGTGATTTACAAATGCCTAAAGAAGCTGCTTACAAATGTAATACGTAGCCACATAGGTACCATAGTGTTTGAGTTGAAAACCAGGTTTTATGTCGCATTAACAAAAGAAAAGAAGTCAGTGGCACATACCAGAAGGGGCTGGAGCTGGGGCTGGGGCTGGGGCTGGGGCTGGAGCTGGAGCTGCGGCTGCGGCTGGGGCAGGGTCTGCTGGAGGATTAATGTCCGCAAAGTATCGAGCCACATCTAATAGCAGTAAACTTGAATCAGTATCCCTTCGGAATGAGTTCATAATATATTAAATATTTGATATAACAGTTTTGGATAGAGAAATTCGTTAACGGACCTGGATCGAAGAAAACTATTTGACCATTGACAATTGTTGAAGCCAGAAATGCGAATGGTTCGGACCCCCCTTGCGTCGTATGCGGTTCGGGCTGCGGCTGATTATTGTTTTCTACAAATGAATCCAAATTCGAAGCTGATGGTTGTCCTCCAATCAACGTTGCGGGATCGCAAGAACTGCTCGATGCTGTTCCTGCTAAAGTTGACGATGAAGATGATGGTCGGCTTTCTCTCCGACTATTTCCAGCCATTGGTCCTCGTAATCTTGTGAAAAAGAAGCCACATTTATCCAAGAATCCAAGGAAATAAGAAAAGAAAACGAAAAAAATTGCTTACTCAAAGAAACTTACTATTTTCTTTACAACTATAGAACCAAAAAGATCAAACAGAAAGAAAAGGAACCCACCCTTACCCAGACGAAAGACAAATGAAAATCATTCACTAGAAAACATAGAGAAAGAGGAAGATATGAAAGAATAAAGAAAAGAACTCACTGGATGAGATTCTGTTTCTTGAGAAAAAATGGACAAGTTGAAGAGAATTAAGCTAGGTTTTGGTTTGCACAGTTTCAAATGGCAAGCCCTCTCGTGTAAACACAGATATTTATACACTTTATACTTTATCTATGTATGGATATCACGTTGACATTGCAAATATATGCAAATTTTCCAAAAATATATGATGCTAAGTTATAATTACTCATTAATTATATATATATATATTTAAAATTTGTTTAAATTTTTAAGGCTCAAAATATCGATGTTGGTACCTGAGTTTTGGAACTCTCTAG